TTCAGTTGTTTCCTATGCATCAGAAAGCTGGACATTGACTAAGGATGACAGTAAAAGAATTGATGTCTTTGAATTGTGATATTGGAGAAGAGTACTGAATATCCCATAAAAAGAAAAACTCAAACCAATATATCTTAGAGAAAGTACCGCCAGTATGCTTTTTCGAGGGAAGGATGATGAAACTCACACACTTCTCACCTATGGTTAGAAGAGGCTAGTCCTTGGGAAAGGGCATCATGCTTAGAAAGGTGGAAGATCGGCTACAGAGGAGAAGACCCTCAACAATGCAAACTGACACATACAGTGGCTCGAACAATGGGTTTAAGGATAGCAAGGATGGTGAGGATGACACAGGACAGAGCAGGGGTCAGGCCTGCTCTTCAGAGGGTCACTTTGACCATGGTCTACTTGATGACACCTAACAACAACAATAGCAAATTAATCTTTTGTTCAGTTTGCAATAAATGCTCCAGACCACAGTTCTTGTTTGGTTTAAAACAAAACAAATTTCCATTGCCGGTGCAAAAGCTTGATTGGTGGCCCTCCTCGCAAAATATGCACTAGCACTCTAACTTCCATACCTGTGATAAACTCTATACCTTCGTACCTAATGTAACGTGAGGGCCTGTTGTTTGTTTGTTTGTTGTTGTTGCATACTGTGGAGTCAGACTCAGCTCAAACCTGACTCTTCAACATGTTTTCAGAGACAGTAAATCACACAGAACAAAGAGTGCCCACCTTTCTCCCAGAGAGAAGCTGGTGGATTAGAACCTCATGCCTTTGAGTTGGCAGCACCACTTCTTACCACTAAGCCAACAGAGCTCCCTTATGTTGTGTTGTTATGTGCCATCAAGTCACCTGCGACTCACAGCGACCTAATGATCATGAGCTCTGAACCCTATCCTATCCTGTGTCAATCTTACTTCCATTTCTTATCGCTAAAGAAAGTTAATGTAATGTGCTCAATCAGTTGAAATCATACCAATGCAGAGTATCCTAAGCCTAATCACTTCTGAGTTATGTGAAAAGCATCAAAAATACTGAAACACCCACACAGAAGGGGGGTGGGGGAGGGGAAGATACCTTGAGGATCACCTCTGAGCCAAATGCTCAAAGGAACTTAGGAACACTCGGGAATACTGACAGGCAAGTTTTCAAAATTTGGTGTAGGTTCTGCTTTGGACTTCTACAGGGTCACAGAGCTTGTTGGGTGGAGGGAGGGGGTAAAAGAATTAGTAAGGTTGTAGTAGGCACCTGAAAAGATGGGGTGACAATGGGCATGGATCAATGGGGATTGATTTTAAAAAACACAATGTATCACAATGAGCATATGAAACACTGATGTGAATGAAGGAATGTGTGTAACACAATGTATATAAATGAAACTCAATGTGTATTAATTTTGTGTACAAACCAATGTAAAATAAAAATGAGAGGGAAGAGCCTATGAAAATTCTCAAAACCTCATTACCATTGGAATAGACCCAACTCATAGTTGAGCTTCCTGTGAGTTTTCTGAAGTTGTAAATTGCACAGGGAGGGATTGCCCATCTTTCTCTTGGAGTCCTCCTGGTGCATCCACACCGCCAGGGAAACATCTCTACCTCCGGTAATTTACCTCTTGTTCATTGCCTTTGGTTTGACTTCAACTTATGGCTACATTCCAGGCTGTATGTATGGAAAGAGACTGCTATCCATCATTTCCCTGTGCTATGTCAAGTGGATTCAAACTTCTGAATTCATTTTTAGCAACCTGATGTGTTATGTAGTATGCCACAGAGGCTTCTGGCTTTAAAGTTATAGGGGAATCCACTTCTAGGTTTTACCACTCACCCATATTTTTGTTGTGGTATCACTAGGAGAGAGACAAACTGATTGGGGATAGTTCTGATAAACTCAAGGAAGGGAAAAAGGAGGTTCTTTTTATATATTTTTATATCTTTAGGGATGAGGAAACTTGTGCATGCATAACTATTTATTGGGTTGCAGTAGCCCTAAATTCTTTAAGTTATCAAGGTAGAATGGCTGAGATACAAATATATTGAATGGTACAGAAAGCAATCAACTTATTTGTTCTCTTAGTAGTCTGTGCTATGTTTAATACCCTTCTCCAACATCAGACCTCAAAAGCATCAATTCTCCCTCTATCATCCCTTGTCATTGCCTAGTTCTCTGATTCATAGCAAGTAATTGTGAAGACCACAGCTTGAATCAGGTGCATGTTAGTCTCTAGACTGATGTTGTTGCTCTTCAGTACTCTGGAGAAGTCCCTGACATCAGATTTTCCTAATGCAATTTGTCTTTTGATTTCCTGTGTACTGGTGCCAAGAGTGTTAATTGTGGAGCCGAGCAAGCTGTTATTATTAACAACCTCAATCTATTCTCCATCTATCATGGTGCTGACAGTTTACCCACTTGTGAGAATCTCTGTCTTTAATCCATATTAAAGGCTGCAGTCCTTGACCTTCTGCAACAAATGCCTCAGGTTTTCCTCAGTTTCAGCAAGCCAGATTGTGACATCTGTGTAATGCAGTTTATTGATGAGTCTTCCTCCAGTCCTGTTTCTACATTCCTCCTTATGGTGTCTGCCTCCCAAATGACCTGTTCCACATATAGATTGAAAAGGTGTGGAGATAGTGTGCATCCCTGACACACACCTTTCCTGATTTTGAACCATGCAGTATTTCCTAGCTCTGTTCTGATGATTGCCTCCTGGTCCAAATATAGATTTCACATAAGCATAATTAAGTGTTTTGGTATTCAACCTCCTACAGTCATGTATTGTGATCCCTGTGCCATTAATCTCATTCTATCGATCAAGTTCCTAGCTTTGCAACAAAGGCTAGAACTTTCTCCGTTAACACAGAGAGTCTATCTAGCTTTCCTAGCACAATCCAGGTCTCAAACTCCAAGACATACGGAAGCAAAGAGATAGAAAAATAGTTACAAAAAGAAATCTGGTCAGGTTTGAATTTTTTACAAAAACATTGGAATTTCTTTGTAAGATTGTGTTGGCACTTGAGACTTAAAGTATGCAGTTTAAAGTATGAAGCCAGAATGCTCCCTAATCTTACAGGTACTGTATCTAAAATACATTGGGCATTTTTCCAGAAAGGCCAGTAATTAGAGTAGGACATAATGTTTTGAGAAGTAAAGGATCAGCAAGAGAAAGAAAAATCCTCAATGAGATGAACTGAACAGTGACTGTAACAGTGGATTTAATACAGAAGAGATTGTAAAGATGGTGCCGTGACAGGCAGACTCCATTCTATTGTCCAATGTCACTATGTGTTGAGGTAACTCAACAACATGTGTGAGATATTTTTTATATTCTCTTAATCTGCTTTAAATCAGCATTTTTCGTATACTTGAAACATGAAACAAAGTTAAGGAAAATGTATAGAGTTTAGAATCTCTGCCTTTACTTTCTCAGTCCTATCTTGCAACTACAAATGCTGTATCTCATTCTTGCGTCTCAGAATAAGAAAAGGCACTTCCTGCAGACATCTTTGAGATTTGCTGGTAGTACCAAGTGCACATTTCAGCAAATACTTTAATCTCATTTAAAACCTGTACTTAGTTCAAGGGAATACTCTGAAGTAAACTCCTGTCTGCCTCTTAGCTCTCTCCTTCTCAGAAGGGAAATACATAATTTTGAAAGCTCTCATATTGCAGTTTAAAGCTATTTACATTTATTCTCTCTTCACATTGAGAACAATTCACTACTATTTCATATTTAATAATCCTCAAGGACTTGGCAATTGTTAGTAAGATCATCCCCAGGCTCCATTTTTGACACTTTATAGATCTATTCATTTAAACTTTTAGCATTTGTTTAGCTTTTCAGCATTTCAATAACTCTCCTGCGACTACTCACTGTGTGATCTATCATTCCCACCTATCTGAGACTATTATTGTCAAATAAGAACATAGCCAATATAAAGGATTAGACAGCATGACTTTCTTTGTTTCTCATCTGAGATGTATTAGCCTTTCACATGCCGAACTTTTAACAAACATATGAAATTGTGTTTAAGAGCACAGTTTAAGAGCCATAGTATGCAGGTTTGATTCCCAAGCCAGATCTTACTGACTGAAGGATCTTGGACAAATTCTTCAACCTCTCTACACCTCATTTTCCTTAACTTTAAAATGAAGATACTGCTCTCTCTACTGAGTTATATTAGGATAATTATTTGAACATAAATAAACTAAATGATACCGCCCAATGCTGGCTATTATAATTATTACCTAAGTTTCAAAATCAACAATAGATTATGTATGTCATCTATACCAGAAGCTTAATTTGTAGAAATGTAGATAACACCATTTAGAGGAAATTAGAGTGTCAGTCTGCTAATTTTTATATACAACAACATGATACTTTTCTGAAGGAGAAACGTGAATGTAAGACATGTATAACATAGTTCTTATAAACATTATCCTAGATTCACCAAGTCCTAGTTGCCTTAGCTTTTATCCTAACAAGGGAAAATGTCTTGATGTGATGTCTTGTAAGTAGAAGGACAAACTATCTCAGATATTTGCCTGGAACTGAAGCATTTTTTTGGACTTAGATATTTTACTGCTAAAATTGCCTTTGGTAAATCTGAATGTTCAGCTACCCTAGCTATTAAGGTAGGAAAAAAATGAAGGCGTAAAAGAGGGAAAGGAAGAACAAGAAGAAGAAAAAGAAGTAGTAGTAGTACTAGTAGTTGTAGTAGTAGTAGTGAAGAAGAAGAAGGAGAAGAAGAAGAAGATGACGACGACAACCCGTCTGATTGAAAAAAAAAAATGGATAGAATCTGTTTTCTTAATTTTGGACTTCTGTAATCTTAAGAGAGAAATGTCTTTGACTAATTAATTCTAAATGTTGAGAGTTTGGGCTTAGGCTTTTGCTTTTATCAGAATTTATAGAAAATATTTCCTTCATTAGTTGTGCTGTTCTTGCTTTCCTCTGATTTTTTTCCTTTTTTTTGTGCCTGATATTTTTCTTTTAGGTCAACACAAATCAAGACGTACTCTTGGGACAATGCCCAGGTTATCTTGGTTGGAAACAAGTGTGACATGGAAGATGAGCGGGTCGTCTCAACCGAGAGAGGCCAGCATTTAGGAGAACAGCTTGGTAAGAAACAAATTAAAAGGAGGGGGGAGGACTTGCTAACTACTTGTAACACTACAGAGGCTCAGCTAATTGCCAAGGTTGGTTTAATTAAAAAATATGTCCACTTGGCAATAGAAACATCCTCCATAAATGGCAAGTACGTTTTCCTCCCACTGTCTTATGGAATTATTACAACTTAAGCACAATTACATTACAAGAGCAAAACTCATAACTAGCATTTGGTGGGTGGAAGGAGGAAAGGAGAAGTAAATGGAAAAGATCTGGCAGGGATCTGAAAAGACAGGGTAATGGAGGGCATAATCCAATGGGGATTCAGTTTATAAAGCAGAGTGTATAAGAATGATTATATGAAACACAATGTGGATGAAGGAGAGAGTGAAACATGATGTATAAAAATTTTGTTTGCAAACCATATAGAATAAGGTTTTCTTTAAAAAAAGAAGCTGCACAAACCAAAATGACAATTCTTGAAAAAGAAAGACAAGGAGAGAATTTATTAAATACAACCTACCATGGGTAATTAATAAAAATTAGAACAAGCTTCTCCCCCAAGCGTATAGAAGCCAAAAGGAAATGGAGCCACATATTTCAAATACTTGATGAAAATCATTTCCAACCAAGAATTCTTATTAGCTATCAAAAATGAGGGGGAAATCAAAGTATCATTACATGGATTGAAACTCTGGGAATTTTCCACTCCCAGATCAGTATTGCAAGTTATTCAAGGGACTATTCCAAGTGGGAAGATAAGAACATTACATAAATATCTATCTATACTCAGAAAAAGTAAGCAATATTAGAGGAAGTTCCAAAAAGTGCTATAACATGGCAATCAAAAAGATGAATTATATTCTATTTTCAGAAATTCAATAATTAAATTGTACAGATAATATAACACAAAATTTTTAAGAAGTTGTTGTTATTGTTATGTGCCATCAAGTCACCTGGGACTCATAGCAACCCTGTGTACAACGACCTAAACCCTGCTCTCTCCTCTGACACACCTACTCCCATTACCCCAGTCACTGAATCAACCCATCTCATCTAGGGTCTTCCTCTCCTGAGCTGTCCCTCCACCCTTCCAACAACCATTACGTCCCTCTCCAACGACTGGTCCCTCTTTGAAACATGTCCAATGTAGGTCAGCTTCAGAATCCTTGCCTCCAAGGAGCAGCCTGGTTTCACCCTCTCTAGGACAAACTTGTTTGTTCTCTTAGCAGTCCATGGTATACTTAATACTCTTCTCAAGCAGCACAGCTCAAAGGCATCAATTCTCATTTTATCATCCCTAATCATCATCCAGCTCTCTGATGCACAGCAAGTCATTGCAAAGACCATGACCTGGATCAGACACACCTTGGTCTCCAGACTGACAACCTTGTTCTTCAGTAGTTTTGAGAAGTCTCTGACAGCAGACTTTCCCAGTGCAATTCATCTTTTGATTTCCCGGCTGCTGGTACCAAGAGTGTGGATTGTGGAGCCCAGCAAACTAAAGCTGTCAACAATCGCAATCTCTTCACCAGCTGACATTGGCTCAGTGGTAAGAATCTTTGTTTTCTTGATATTGAGCTTCAGTTCATATTGAAGATTTCAGCCCTGGACCTTCTGCAGCAAGCGCTTCAGATCCTCCTCAGTTTCAGCAAGCAGGGTTGTGTCATCTGCATAATGCAGGTTGTTGATGAGTCTCTCCAATACTGATGCTACATTGAAATTATTAAAAATACATTTTATATTGAAATAAAAAAAATATTGCGATGGGAAAGTCTGCTGTTAGGGACCTCTCCAGGGTCCTGAAGAGCAATGGTGTCACTCTGGAGACTAAGGTGTGTCTGATACAGGCTATGCTATTTGCAATCACTTGTTATGCATCAGAGAGTTGGACAATGACTAGGGAGGATAGAAGCAGAATTTATGCCTTTGAGCTGTGGTGCTGGAGAAGAGTATTGAGCGTACCATGGACTGCCAAGAAAATAAACAGATTCATCCTAGAGAAGGTTAAACCAGGTTGCTCCTTGGAGGCAAGGATTCTGGGGCTTCATCTGACATACTTTGTACATGTTGTAAGGAGGGACGGGTCCTTGGAGAGGGACATCATGCTTGGGAGGTTGGAGGGACGGTGCAAGAGGGGAAGACCCTCTATGAGGTGGATTGATTCAGTGACTGGGGTAATCAGGATGGGTGTGTCAGAAGCAGTGCGATTGGCACAGGATAGAGCAGGGTTTAGGGCTGTTGTACACAGGGTCACTATAGTCACAAGCGACTCGACGGCAAATAACAACAACAACAACAATCAAAATATGCTCAAAAATGAGGAGGGAGGAGCATATCAGGAATAGATTTATGTTAAGTCATAGCTTAACTATCATTCATATGTTAAACATTGTCATTTTACATTGTAGAATATTGTTACTGTTATTGTAATGTAATATGTGATAACCAATACAAAATACCTAGGGGGAAATAGAAGAAAGTGATCAAAAGCCTTATAACAAGAAAGTAGCAAAATACACATATACAAAAATGAGAATTTGAAAAAAAAAATTTAAGATATCCAAAAGCTGACAAGTGAAATGAGTGAGGTAGATACTTTTCCCCCCAGGATCATCTTAAATGCAAATTGCCTAAATGCTCCATACAAAAGGTAGAGAGTACCACAATAGATTAAAAGATATGATCCATTCTTTTTCTCTCTGAAAGAAATAAAATTTCTATAAAAGAACAAAACCAGAATGAAAATAAAAGGATAGAGAAAAATATATTTCATGCAAATAGTAAACAATTAATAGCGGGGGTGATCATAAAATGTCAGACAAAATAAACTTTAACTCCTACCTGTTAATGGCAGATAAAAATAAGTTATGTAATAATAAGATAGCAGTCCATTTCATTTACTAATATCTAAAAACTTAAGATATAGTTACAAGCATCTGTCAATCACTGGAAAATCAAGTGTATAAAGTGTGAATGCAGAAAAATTGCCAAAAACTAAAAATAAAACGAAACCCCGAAACATAAGCTTTGATGTTTTAGGTATTGTTGTTGTTGTTATGCACTGTCAAGTCAGAACCAAATCATTGCTGACCCTCCAGTGGGTTTTTAGAGGCAGTTAATCGCACAGCAGGAATTACCCATCCTTCTCTTGCGGAGTGGCTGGTGGCCTTAAACCATGTGTCTTCAGGATTGCAGCACAGCTTCTTGCCGCTAGGTCACCAGAGCTTGTTTTTGGCATTAGTGAGCTGAAATTAACTGACATTGGCCATATTAAAGTAAGACAATCATGTGGTCTGCTATTCTAAAAATGGTATTCTAAGAAGAGCTGTGTCATTCTTCAAAATTATTGTCAAAAATGACATTTCAAGATACATTCTAAGGTAAAATTATTTAAATGATAGGATAATATTCATATATATACAAGTACAACCTGCTGATGTGATTGTTTCCAGATATGTGCATCAAACATTAATAACAAAGATGTGTGAAGATATATATTAAACTCTGCAGTGTAAAACTGATCAAATATGCAACTAATATGTGCTCATAATTATGGGTGATTAGAATGTGAAAACTGGAAACAAAAAGAATCTATAGTTTGGAAATACGACTTTTCAATTGTAGACACAATGCCAGAGATCACATGATAAAATTTTGCAAGACCAACAACTTATTCATTGAAAGATCCTTTTTTTTCAATAGAAACAATCATTCTACATGTGAACCTCAACAGATGGATTATCAGGGAATCAAACTCGTTACATCCATGGAAAGAGAGGCTAGAGAGCTTTCATCTATCTGGACAAGGTCATGGTGCAACAGTAGAACAAAACCCTTACTTGGTCGTGTGCAAGTTCAGGCTAATGCTGAAAAGAATAAAAACAGCTTGATGCTTTGAACACTTAATGACTTAAGTCCAAGCTAGTTGTAGGATGATAGCAACAAAGGTATAAAAGGGAGGCAGGGGACCAAAATGGTTGCCAGAAGAAACTGATAAAAGCACTCTATCGGTAAAACACTGAATGAACAGTCAGAAGAAGATGGAGTGAATAAACAATCACTGTTCCAAAAAGATCTGTATAGTATTCATCCATTTCAATAGGTAGTGTATCATCAAAAATTAATAGTATCGAAGGGAGAAGCCTAGGTTGCACTGAAGACATTGGTGGAGGTGGGGAGCAAGGCTCCAGAAATTGATGAAGCATCAATTTAAATGTTTCAACAAATAGATGCAATGCTAGAGGTGCTGGCATGCAGAAAACTGTTGTTAGGTGCCATCAAAACAACTCAGATTCACAGAGATCTGATGTACAAGGGGTACAGCAGGTCTCTGCCGGATCCTACTCCTTCCTCACAGTATCTGCTGGGAAAGGATGGGAAACAACAGATACCTTGGGGAAGAAAAAAGGGAAATCTAAGCAATGACTTGCAAGGTGACCTCCCTGGGACTTGCTCCTCCCTCTCTGTATGCTGTTGGCCAGCCAGGTGCATATGAGTTAGTGGAGAAGGTGTTCCACAGATGCATAATGTCTCCGTAAATAAGCATAAATGTTATTTGTTCAAAGAAAAATAGATTAAAAGCCAGAATATTTAATGTCAGTACAATAGATGGAAGTGAATAGCTAAATTTTTACTCTGTCTAGCAAATTACTTTCCTGATGTATATCCATTCAACATACTCACTAAATCTGTATGCTGAACAAATACTCTGACATGTTGGACTGTGTGAAGAAAAACATACAATATTGAGAGGAGAGACAGGATAATTACGAACTTCAAATATGCAGATGTCATCATCCTGCTTGCTGAAAACCAAGAGTACTTGACGTTCTTACTGATGAGGATCAAAGGCTATACAGCTTTCACTATGAATTAATTTCAACATAAAGACAACAAAAATCGTCACTATGAGCAAAGAAAAACTTGAAGTTAAGGATTTCATTGAATTGGAATCAACAGTAAATGACCCTGAAAGTGATAATTAAGAATTAACCATGTAAATCTGCAAA